GAGAAGACCTGCGCCGCCTGCAGTAGGATAGGATAGGAATTTTACCAATGGTTTTTCTAATTTTAATGGCATGTAATTAACCCCCCGAGCACAAAAGGCAGTTATTGCGACCTGACAGACTGACTTTAGTTTTATTTATAAGTTTAAAGATATATACAGGGTTAGTACATAGCCAAATTTTAAACTTAAGTTCAAATATATAAATATTGAAGTACCATTATTGCAGTTACTAAAAATAAAAGGCTTTTACTTTTATTTGAAATTATCCCAAATTCAATGTGATTTATTATTGACGGCTCCGTGGCGCAGTGGCTTAGCAATGAGTTGTTGCGCTAGGGGTCGCGGGTTCGAATCCCACGCGGTACAAGTATTTGTATGGCCAACAGATAATTGTTCCGGTTCTGGATATTTGTCCTTGTGCAATTTATGTTTGTAAACTGCCTCCACGATACAGGAGAAAATCCTAGTGTGCGGGTAACGTTTTAAAAAAAGAAAAAAAGAAAAAATATATGCCTTACATTACACGCGATCCTCTGTGTGAGAATCAATTTACAACTTTTGTGCCGTTCGATCAACCCTTACGAATGTGTGCGTGCGTAATAAAATAGTAGACAATTAGTTAAAAGAATGCATTATATGTACCACGCATTTTGAATTTAGAAGATAAAAGGGACAGAATGTTTGAAACTTTTTTAAACAATTTTTCTTCACCATTCATATTACTTATTCTGAACCCTCTGCAAATCTGGCTATATATACAGGGTTATATACTTAACTAACTACTTATTAATAAATATGTATATTTAAACAGCATATATGATTATACGTAATATTACAGAAATCCAACCCCAGAAAACAGCTTGGGAACAAAATGGCTTCCTTATAAGAGATGTGTAAAAGAATACTTGAATATGTCTTATATTGTTGACGATTGTTAATGGCCGATTTCTCAAAATAAGTAGAGTCGTGGTTTAATTTATAAAAAAAATTATAAAATATTTTTTATTGGTATATTTCTCTCTTATGCCTTTCCAAAAAATAAAAAATATTTATAAAACATAGAGAACATATTACTTTGTAATTTGTGTAACAGAATCCTTCGACCAATACAACCTTACAATATGTTCTCTATGTTCCTTCGACCAATTCGTCCCGCGGGTGTCGTTAGAAGCGACAATACGATGTAACTATGCGATATGCCAAAAATCTTAGTTAAAAAAAGTAACAGCCTATATACGTCCCACTGCTAGCCACAGGCCTCGTCTCATTTCTGAGAGGGTTTAGGGCAAGGAAATGTCCGCCGTGCTGTCCCAAGCGCGTTGGCGAACTTCACGTGTCTTCGAATTTTTTTTCTTCACTCACGAAACACAACAGTGTTAAGCTGCTATTTTACGCTGGTATTCTGTGAGAGCGTGGTCCTTCCCCGGTCGAGCCGACCCATTCGTGCTACAACTATACTACATTTTTTTATACGTGGTAGAGCCATGCTGCAGCATATAAAAAGATGGTTACTTCAAGATAGCGGTGCACACATCTTATTTATGCCAGGCGTAAAATACCCCGGGGACGGGAAGCTGCGTCAAAGATTTTGCATAAATATTACACATACATAGATATTATATACCTACACGCGCAGATATTTAATAAACAAATCACTTTTACACATCAGAATCCACTGCAAATCGTTATTTTGTAGCAATGGACAACCCTGACACAGTGCTTTTGCTCGCTGGTACAAATTCTATGTTGTATACAAACAGTATAGAACTGTCCTATACAGGAAGTTCTATAGTACTAGAACGTAGTAGTTAGTACTCACGGCTTACAGGCTAGCGTTACCAACTCTACGGATTTTTCCGTAGATCTACGGAATTTTTTCATCGTCTGCGGAACTACTGAATATGAGTCGAAATCTATGGAATTTGATTTCCATGTTTTTATTTTTTTTCTACTTAACAATCCTTTCAAAACAATAAGATTTTTAAAAATTTAACAAAAAACATTTTTTATCATGAGTAAGAACTTAGCGGACGACCAACAATCGAAAATTTTAACATTTGAAGTAATCTTTTTAGTATACACAACAATTGTTATACAATACACAAATATTTAAGCTTTAATTATTTTATTTGTTTATAACTAAAAATAATTAAATTAAAAGAAAACATTTTTTTATGGTACTTTTTTCTTATATGTGCAGCTTGTTATACTACAATTGAACTTACAACAAGAATTTTACATGACCGAAAGAATTCCTCCAAAAAATTGGTCTATTCTATGAAAAAAACAAAATTTCGATACTCTTGAGAAGAATTCAGATCTACGGATATTTTGAAATAGCATCTACGGTATTCTATACGATAGTTTTATACCAATCTACGGATGTGGAAAAATTCGAGTTGGTAACACTGCTCATAGCTAAGTCAGTGACACAGATAACTATGTTGTATTTATACTGGTCATGGTCAGTAACTCAGTAAGAAAATCGGAGCAGTGCATTAAGGTGTTTCGTGCGAGCTTACAAATCTATTATGATGGTGAGTTACAAGGACATTTTATGTGTCTTTATAGTGTGTTTGCTCAAAGAATATTGTTTAAGTGGAAAAGTACACAAAAAACATGTTCAAGTAAGTATATTTTCATTATTTAATGTTATTTTGAGAATCAAATCATTTAATAAAACTTTTTTCAATATTATGCTTTACTTTACAGTCAGTACTTAGCAAATTATTTTGAATGAGTTCTAATTAAAGTATATAGGTAGTTTTGATTTTTAATTATGGCGTTTTAAAATGTGTATCAGTTTACTGTCTCAAAAAAATTCTACTCTTGATTACTCTTTGCTCGTTTATATTTAAAAGACTTTGATTCTTTACACTTAAATGACCTATATAGTATATTATCTATTATCAATGCTCTTGCGTAAGGTTTTGCTGCACGAGATAGCGACTCCACATCCTACCCACGTAGCGTTGCGCTGTTTTTCAGACACTCCATTTATTACTTATTTAACTGTAATTAGAATTGTATAGGCGTATTTAAAGCTTTATGCATTCTCTGCCTATGCCTATAGAGATAAAACAAAGTAGACGTAGAATACAATAACAAACTACAATAAGAGAAGTGATATAGGAATATCAAAAAATTAAACCAAAAAAAATTTCAATTTTAAGTCAACTAAAACAATAACATTGTCTTTCCTCTTTAATTGTTTCGCGATAGTTAAGGGCTCCTAACTACTGTCTAATAGGTAAGCTAATTTGTTTTGCTTATCTATTAGATAGTAAATTAGAAATATTGAAGAGGTCACTTTTATTAGATAAAGTTAAAAAAATTATATTATACAAGATTTTAAAGTAAAACTTTTTCATCGACGTAGTGGATAAATTTGGTACGGTATTAAAAAAATCAAATGTCACGTTTTCTTCTAAAATTTCACCGCCGCGGCTGCATGAGTATACTACTATTTAGACTACTTATGAAAAATATAGTAAAAGAAGAATGATCTGTCATAAAGAAGTTTTACTTCATCATACATCATACTCGGAAGTGGATGCAGTAGCCCATAGACATTTAAAATTATCCTCCATTACCAATCAAAATAGACGTGCGTTGGCAGCCTTAAAGACCTAAAAGAAGAACTAAAATTCGAAATAACGATTTTCTTATCACATTTCTACCATAACAATACCTTAAATACATATGTACGAATATAGTCAAATGTGCATTGTTGCGTTGCTGCTTTGCCAGTCTCATTGAATTTAGTACCAGTGACATTTTTAATACTATAATGAATTTCTGCAACGTTTGATAATAGTTACGGCACAGCAAGGCTGTGGATTCGAATCCCGCATATCACAAGTATTCACATGGCTTACAAATACGAATAATTGATCCGGGTTTGTATGTTGCCTATGTGCAATTTACCGTCGTAATTTAAACGCCTTTACGATACGAGAAAAATGCGTTTTTGCACAAAATATGAATCTACGAGTAAACATACAAACAACACCATCCTGTACAGGTGGGTAGGTGAGCATGGTAATGAGAGTAAGGTTAGGAGTGTAGAGCCGGCAGTTTCGTAAAAGTAAAGTAAAGTTGCAGCCTATTTACGTCCCACTGGTGGGCACATGCTCTCATTTCTGAGAGGGTTTTAGGGCAAGGAGTGTTGGCGAACTTCACATGTCTTCGAAATATTTTTTTTCTAATTTCTCAGACATGCAGGTTTCCTCACGATGTTTTCCTTCACCGTCGAGCATGTGGTAAATCAGCACTTAAAATTGCAATTAACAATTTCATTGGTGCCGGCGGGGATCGAACCCGGGTTGCTCTATATGCAATTTACGTATGCAAAACGCCTTCACGATACGAGAAAAATGTTACTGTAATGCCGTGTGCGTTTTTTTGTACAAAATATGAATAGACATAGAAACATCACCATCCTGTACAGGTGGGTAGGTGAGCATGGTAATGAAACCAAAGTTAGGAGCGTAGAGCCGGCAGCCTCGTACTGACGCTGTTTATCAGAGACCAACATCGTTTGTGTGATAAGCAGGCAGGGTTAGATGCAGGGTCACTATATTTTTCCTCGACTAAGAAGATTTGGCAGTATTAGACGTCTCGCTCATATGACGCTGTTCCCCGTCGCTGGGCTTGATATTTTACGTATAGTGTAAACGAGATAGTTATATCACAATCCATCGAAAGTCATTAGATATTTTTTAGCCTGAGGTACATAATGTAATAGAATTATTATAATCACTAAACATACATCCGTATCTGAAAACCAATTACTTCTGTTTATGCATATGATGCGTAGTCTCTGGTCAGAATTCGAACCCAGGATCCGCTGATTCTCAGCAGTCAAATATTCTGAGCACTACGTCCCGCAGTCGACTAAAGTCAGTGATGAGAGAATGAGTGAAGTGCTAAAGAATCCTCATGCTATTATATAATAATTCTCATGTTATATCTATGTAAGTATCTTTCTTTTATTTTAGGAAAATCCAATAGTAACCGTGACAGAAGGCAAACTTAGAGGCGCCGTGGGTACATTATTAGATGGATCTAAATACTATAGTTTCAAAGGCATCCCGTATGCACAGGCGCCTCTTGGCAATCTAAGGTTTCAGGTAAATACTTTGTGAATGTTTTGTACACTTTTAATTTATATGCATATCAGAGAGTGTAATAATGTGTAGGTATGTTTTTATAATAACGTCATATATGTGTATTATTGGTGTGTTAAATAAATAAATAATTGTTATAATTATCTACTGATCTTTAATATACGTACCTCGAAAAGAGAGCTACTTCTTCGTTAACCTGTAGCAGTAGTCATCATCATCTTAATTACTGCCTATCAAAATCTACTGCCGAGTATACGCCTCCCCCATAAATTTCCTCTTGGGAGAGTATTTGGCATAGTCTCCATCCGTAACGATGGCAACTGCATTTTTTTTTATTTTAAATAATTATCAGGAAGTTGCTGCTGCCCATGTCCTGTTTCATTCTTTGTGTCGTCACTTGCGACATCCACGCAGATATGGGACAGTGGATTCACCTACGCCACCACTACGAGGCGTAACAGTTTTCCTTGCTTGAAAATAAATCGCAATGTGAAATAAAAATTTTACTTGTAAATTCCAATGAAAAGTTTTTATAGTAACATTACAGTAACAGCGTAAAATAACAGCTTAAGACTGCTGTGTTTCGTATGTCGAGTGGAGAAATCCTGAGACCCTTTTACTGTAAATGAGGCATTCCATCATAGTACTCAGGCATGATAACGCATCTGCAATTTGATTCTTATTCCAGGATAAATGTGGATATCTATGGGCCACAGCAATCACTTACCATCTGTGTGTCATAGTGGACTGTATGCTCGTTTGTCACCCTAATTCTATAAAAAAATAGAAATAAAGACCCAATCCTATCTTGTAATCAGCGAGGTAGAATTGCCTTTGTAAAGTATTCGGCTCTTAGAGTACGGTATATTGTTTAGGTACTAAGGCCTAATAGTAAAGTTGCAGCCTATATACGACGCACTGCTGGGCACAGATCTCTAACTTCTGAAAATTTAGTCCACTGCACTGCTACCGTGATTGTTGGCTTGAATCTTCTTGGTGGCTTGTAATACATGTTTTTCATACGTAGGTATGGACAATCAGGCACTAGTCCTCATTAGTTAGGTGTCATGGCAAGGAGAGAATATGTATATTATGCATTCATTAATTCATTATATAACTCGGGATGATCACTGAAGCTTCTTAGCTACCAACAATTAACTTAATATGAGTACCTACGACCTAGTTGAATATATCATAAAATTGGGAACATTTATTATTACATATATTTATTTCTAGGCACCGCTACCAACAAAACCATGGAATGGCGTTCGCGACGCAATCGAACATGGTCCTGTTTGTACTCAATACGATTTAAGTATATCAAAACTGATTGAAGGCAGCGAGGAGTGTCTCTTTGTAAATGTCTACACAAAATCTTTAAGTCGTCACGCTAAAATTCCAGTCATGGTGTTCATCCACGGTGGCAGTTACAGTTACAACTCCGGCGACTCGGAAACCTTCAGCCCGGACTTACTGTTGCGACACGATGTCATATTAGTAACTTTGAACTACCGCTTGGAACTCCTGGGATACCTATGCCTCGATACACCCGAGGTTCCAGGCAATGCCGGCATGAAGGACCAATCTGCCGCATTGAGATGGGTTAAAAACAACATAGCTCGATTTGGCGGTGACCCCGATAACATCACTATATTTGGAGAAAGTTCAGGAGCTAGCTCTGTTACGTCTCATATGTTATCGCCTATGTCCAAGGGGTTGTTTCACAAAGTGATTGTTCAAAGCGGCACATGCATACACGACTGGGCGATCGACAGGAACGCTAAAGAGCGGGCTTTTCGAGCGGGAAAACTCTTAGGTAAAGAAACAAACGACACTAATGAGCTGTTGGAGTTCCTGCGTAGTTTAAAGCCAACCCTATTAACGAACCTTGCACAAAAAACAATGACGTATGACGAAACATACCGAGGACTACCTGAGTATTTTATCCCGGTCATTGAAAAGAAATTTCATGGAGTAGAGGCTTTTATGGACGAGGAACCAATCGATTTGCTAATAAACGGTAAAGTGGCCAAGGTACCGCTTATGATTGGCTACAATTCTGCCGAAGATTTAGTATTGATAAATTATCTCACAGAAAAACTGGACGTTTACAATAAGCATCCATCCTATTTCGTCACAAAAGAACTAGCAGCGAATATAGGGAGCGAGAAACTGAAAGAGTTTGGTGACAGAGTGAAACAGTTTTACGTAGGTGGCAGAAATTTAACTAAAGATGATCCCGAGATAATTGAAAAAATTGGTAGTGACATCCATTTCTTCTACAACACGCACAGGTTCGCGAATCTGTACAGCGCTTCTTGCCAGCCGATCTATATGTACCGGTTTAATTACGACACAGATTTAAACATTGTTAAGAACGATACAGGATTTACCTACTTGAAAGGAGCGAGCCATGCCGACGACCTTTTCTATATGTTTTATAACTTTTTGAACAAGAAACCGTACGATGAACAACCAAAATTAAGAGAATTGACGCTCAAAGTAACAACGCTTTGGACTAATTTCGCTAAAACTGGGTAAGTAAGAAGTAATAAAAATATTATTCCAGTACATAATATTAAGTTAGCCAATGCTGACTGGAACGACGTGGCGAACACACTCGGGCGCATTTAATCCTTTCTATTTAATAACGATATTTTTACATAAGATACTCATGGACAAAGTTAACTTACCGTTAAACATACTTTTAAATACCTCAAACAATCGACGGCTCCGTGGCGCAATGGCTTAGCAATGAGTTGCAGCGCTGGGTGCCGCGGGTTCGAATCCCGCACGGAACAAGTATTTGTATGGCCTACAAATAATTGTTCCGGGTCTGGATGTTTATCCTAGTGCAATTTATGTTTGTAAACTGCCTCCACGATACACGAGAAAAACCTAGTGTGGGGGTAACTTTTTTTTTTAAAATCACTCATAAGCAAAATATATGCCATCAAAAACATAACTTGTAAAAAAACCAAGTCTCGCAACTCAGTTCTTCTACCGTAAACAGTTCTGAGATCCATGTGATACCAAGTCGGTTAATTTATTCAGCCCCTACTTAAGGGTCCTTCTGTCTTAACTTATTACTTAATTAGGTACCCTAACAACATCTCATAGCAGGCGCGGACGCAGCCTGAAATTTTGGAGAGGGTCACTAATAATAAAATATGTAATGTAAATTAAACTTTATTGCATAATACACAAATTTATTGCACACATTACAAAACAAATGGAAGTCAGGGGCTAGGCAGGACAGTACCCCGGGCCCCCAAGCTAAAGGGGCCCCTCGGCCTCCAAGAACGACGTTCGAAAAATTATGTACTATCCTAGTTGTATAAAGAATTTTCAAGTTTTAACTTTTTGGCCCTGATCGCGAACGGCTCGAACTGACATCACAAAAATTACTCCCACTTCCAGAACATAAATATAACATTGTTAAAGATACTTGTCTACTTCGTTTTATTGTGTTTATGCAGCATGCGCGTTTTCCCCACTCTTCTATATGAAGAGTGGGGAAAACGCGCATGCGGCTCACCTGATGGCAAGTGTCGGCCACCGCCTATTAACAAATACAACACCAGGGGAATTGCAGGCGCGTTGCCGGGTTTTTAAAAAGGAGTAAGCTCGTTTCTTGAAGCTCCCTAAGTCATATCGGTCCAACAGTAGTGGACCGCCAAACATCCCGATGATGTGGATTTGCTAAATACGTTGAGGAAATTTTGTGGCTGGAATTAATCCGAACCATTCCGCTGAACACTCCCAGTGGTAAATGCGATAGAAAATGCAAAGGGATGCAACATCTCTTCGTCTCGTCTTCGTCGTCGACGATTCGTGCTGCCCTGCACTGGATGCGGTCAAGTGAAAGGAGCTGGTACTAAGAAGCCCCCGCACAGGGATGAGAACAATATTCCATGTTAGGCCGAACTTACCTTTTAGGAGCCAATTCAGCCTTCCCTTCCAAGTGACTACGAAACTGCAAGTTATTCGAAATGTCAACGCCGAAAATTCCGATACTGATTGAGGTAACAAGGGGGGTGCCCTGAAATTGAGGAGTTATGACAAAGGGGTTATTTTTAGTGGTAAACGCGCAAACTTGTGTCTTCTGAGCGTTGAACTTAATTAGATTTAGTCGCTCCAATCCGAGACATTATCCAGCAAAAACTTGACTACAGACACAAGTTTGTTCCGGTACTCGACGATGTTTTCCCGAGAAATATAGGCACAGCCGGTATACAAAGCATCGCCAGTGCACGTTACTGGTTTGCAACATATTATTGAGAGGCAGAAAAAACAGTGTAGGTGATAGCCCGTAGCCATGTGGAACACCAGCATAAATAGGCTTATAAATGGAGCATGCACCTTCTGTTACGACTTACCTGTTCCAATCTGCAAGAAAACTGCTGGTCCTGTTGCACAAATTCTCGGGAAGCCCATAGGAAGGGAGCTTCGAAAGAAGCGCTTTGTGCCAAACTCTATCGAATGCCTTCGCTATGATCAAACTAATGGCTTTTCTGCCTCCGCCGATTTATGAGTCAGGTATGCCAGAAGATCACCAGCTGAGCAACCCCGACGGAAATCGTACTGGCTGTCACTTTTCAGTTAGTGATCCTCAACCTCATGAGCTGGCCATTCACAATGGTTTTCATTATTTTGGAGAACAAGTTGGATAGGCCTGAGCGGTCGATTTTCTGTTATTTTTTAGGGATCTGTTGCACTAAAGCTATCTTATTTGAGTTCGGGACTACGCCTAGGCAGAAACAGTTTTAGAAAAGATATGTTACGATCGGTGCCAACTAGGCAACACACATCTTCAGCACAATGGGAGGAACTCCATCAGGCCCACTCGACTTGACGACTAGGGAGAGTAGTGCTATACGCACCGAGTGCTGTGTAAACCGTATCGTACAGACCTGAAGGCGCAATTATACTTCTTTTTAACAGCGCTGTTGAAGCACTTTTATTATAGCGCGATGCATTTATACAGGAGCGATCAAACCACAACAGATGATAGAATAAAAAGTTCCATTCCCTGAAGTACGACATCAGCGACAGAATCACGTTGGGATCGTCCGGCGAGAAGCATACCCGCCTTTGTGCTGAAGGGAAGGATGCATAAAAAGACCGCATCCTGTCCCAATCGGCTGACTTATAGTGCCAAACACGGCGACGATCTGCAGAACGCAACCGCAATGGGAGTGTGAGTGGCACCATAGTCCGGATCAGACAATGGTCCAATGAGCCAAGAGGTGCGTCGACGGAAATCTGATATCCGTCCGGATGAGAGGTCTGCAGAATGTCGTACAGGGAAGGTGCACGATCCTCCACATGTAAAATCCGCGTAGGTGAAGAAACCGTTTGTGTCGGGCCATATGCCAAAGCAAATTCATAAACAGATCTTCCCGCATGATCGGTTAAACGAGAACCAAGCCATTCAGCGTGGTGGCTATTATAATCACCAAAGATCACGATCTCTGCAGATGGTACCTGTTGTAGCACGGAGTCTGCAGTGATTTGGACGCAGTCGATGAGTTGGTCTATGTTGGCATTACCTATAGAGGCACCCGTAGACGCGATGGTCGTCGCTGACCTTCAAGACTGCCAAGGCGTCGAGAACAGCTGTCCTCTCTGACGGAATAATTTGTACCCCGGGTAGCAGAGAAGTATCGACCGGAGAGCACACCTGCGTCTCGGTTGGAAAGAGCAAGGTCGGCTTCGCCGTCTTCAGATGATACCTAGTGGACTTCGTTAACGTTCGAATGAAATCTCCTGGGGTTGCAGAAATTCACGGATAGCATGGCAGGGGTCACCTTTATCTTATTGCTCTACTTACCACGAGCAGTATTAGTCTTGAGCGGAATTTTTAAGGGTGACAATAACACACAGTCCACCTGATGGTAAGTGGTTGCTGTGGCCTATAGACATCTACATCTATCCTCGTTTGTAAATAAAATGCTGATACGTTGCCAGCCGTGAGGACTAAGATGGAATGCTTCTTTTCCAGTAAAAAGGGTCTCCGGTTCTCTACACTCACCAAACGAACCACAGCAGCATTAAGCTGCTATTTTACGCTGGTATTCTGTGAGAGCGTGGTCCTTCCCCGGTCGAGGCGACTCAATCGTGCTACAAGTATAAGTACTATTAATATAGCTGTAACATGGCTCTATCACGTAAAATTTTTATATCTATATTTGGGTTGAGATCATCTTCGCAAACTTCGATTGTAGAAACTACACACTTAGGAAATATTGTATCAGTATTTTCTTTGAGCTCCCGTTTCCACTTTGAAATCCATAGCTGATACTCTGTAACGAGAGTGGCAGCAGGAACACTCAAGAAATGAGAATAACATCCTGATAATTTCTTCACATTAAGAAGATCTTCTTCTGTATATTCAGATTTTGGCATAAAAATACCTAATCCGAACCAGCTCATCGTATCCGCAGAAGGTCGGTCCTGTAGTCTTAGTCTTTATGCTATCTATTAGTGGAATATAAACAGTCCTCCGAAAATATTCCTCGTCATTTCCTTGATAAGTAATTAACGCGAAGATTCTCAGTAATTTTTAGAAGATTTTTCAATTTGACGTGTACGTGTACGATTTTGGGGGTCATGTCCCCTGTGACCCCACCCTTCGAACCGCGCCTGTCTCATAGTGACCACATCAATACTAAAAATCTTTTATATTTTAAACAAATAGATTGACTTGGCCATCGCATGAAAACACATTGTATCTGTCAAGTAATAATATCAAATAGTAATAATTGCCAAGTCAATTTATTTATTTAAAACATAAAAGATATTTAATATTGATATGGTCACTATAAGATGTTGTTAGGTAAATGTTTTAGTTTTTCCTTGATTTATACACTAAACAATAATTGTATTCTAAATTTGAAGCTTCTATGTCTGCTAGAAGTGCTTTAGAGTTTTGATGATCGGTCAGTGAGTGACAAAATTAAGAAAATTTGACTAGTTATAATTCTTAAACTACTGGTTCAAATTTAATGAAATTTGAAATATATCGGGTTTTATACAATGCCTACTTGGTTACTGAAAGAACAATGGCACAAAAATAGTTGACAAAAATTGTCGCGTCTAGAAATAAGTTATATATAAAATAAGTATTTTTTTTTTATGATTTTTCAAATAAAAATTAATTTTAATTATAGCCACAGAAAAAAACAAACATTTTTGGGAATATCAAATGACTTAAATCATTTTACTCTATTCAAGTGTTGGCATTTAGTATATTCATACTATTTTCGTATGCACTTTGTAAGACTACCAACACAACACAAAATATTTTTATATTAAGTTATTATTAGTAATAACTATACTATCAGTAATCAGTGATATGGTTGAGAATAAGTCTCTTACAAAGAACTTCCTACAATAATACATTATATCAATCATAATACTATGTAACAATTCCATTTAATGTTATGGCAACACTAGCTGAAACAAAATGTCACTTATTTTTTTACTGGTTTTACGGCTTTGGGTTCTAACCCTTCTGAGAATGTCACTATGACACAAAGGCCCTGGAGCTATGCCAGAAATATACATTTATAGTATACAAATATATAATAGAGATAATAATCTAAAAGCTCTCAATTATGTATTATGTATTAAGCTAACATCAAACAATCACAGGAAGCATGACTTTTTGCAAGTGACATAAGATATAACCTAAAAAGGTATAAATTTAAATATCTTTTTTTGACGCCTTCTCAGGACAAAATTCTTTGACAGAGTTATTAAGGTTCTGACTCTTAACATTTTAAGATATTTTTAATATATAGACGTGACCATTCCTTCTCAACTAATTTTATGTATGAAAGTCTGCAATTGTTCTTTCGAGCTTCTAGCTTTATCCACAATGAAGTAATAGGGTTTCTAAAATGGCCTGAACTGCTTCGAGAAAAGGATGGTACGGCCGTGCCGCTTTTTTGCTCGACTTGGCGGGGGCACTCCCGTGCCCCTAGATTACACGTTCAATTTGTACCTTAAGGGTAAAGATGCTTGATCTTATTGTCTTCCAGTTTAGCACATATCTCATTTACAAGCTGAAAAATTTAATATGATGTACTGAAAATAAATTCACCAAAGACGTAATTTGTCTGAGCGGTTTCTTCAGTACTGCTGAATAATAATTATCTTAAAACATTACTTAATACGTTCATTAGTGCCTTGTTTAAAGTCTAATTGAATAAAATAATATTATGATTGATTTAATTTATATTTGTTTCTTAGGACGTTTTTTGATATCAATCAATCGTCCAGATCGTTTACATTTTTTGTAATACATGATAGAACTACGCTGCCGCATATTATAATAATATGACTGCAGGACGAATAGCTCGACTTGACTGTGGAAGAAGTGTGCTATTAACTATCAGACTAGATAGTTAATAGCATACTGCTGTTTCTTTTGGTTAGTGATGTGAACCAGATACCCTTTTTAGAAAAGAATATACTTATAACTCTACGACGACTTTTCATTAATGAGGTCATATTTTTCAGGTGTGACAATTGCATTTTAATTTTTAATCATCCACTTTCCACTGCCACGGCCTAAGAAGAACATAACTATCTTGCTTAGTGTACTCGTTTGTCACCTTTATTCCATAAAAACCGTTGCAATAATTGTATAGGTATCTTAAATTTTTTGCTTGTTCTACACGTATCATCTAACCCTCCAACACTTGAGATGGTTATGACGTTTTTGCGCGTTACGCCGTTTGGTTGGTTCAATTCACCTCGAGATTGGCAGTGACGGTGGCGAGTCGAAATCGCATTGAATGTGAGAGATTTCACCAACTCACTTAAGCCGTATTTCTACATATTACACTATATTAAATCGATGTCTAATTAACATCCATAACCTGCGGTTTCCCTTGTTTTGTTTTAATGTCGTCTCTTAAGAAACACGGTATATATATTTGGAACGAGGTCGCTAAGGTTAAGGTCAGGCGAACATTTGAAGTTGGACGATTGATGGTGTTGTGCTTAAATTTTATTTAATTACGTTGAGATTTATTAGATTTTCCAATTTATATCAATATTATTCACAGTAACCCCACACCAAACCATTGCACGGATGTTGAATGGCTCCCATACACTGCAACTGGAAAGGAGTACTTGAAGCTAGAAGAGAACATGGCGATGGCAAAATTTGCAGATAAGGATCGTGTGAAGTTTTGGAACGAGTTGTACAAAGAGGCCGGTGTTGCTTACATTAAATAATATTTTTAAATTCGATGTTACATGAAAAAAAATTGTAATTAATAATATTTAAGGAATATTTTTGTCGCCTCTTCGAAAAAAAGAGAGAAATAAATTGTCTCTCTCTATTTCTTTTTTAATACTTTATTTCCTCATTATTGTGTAGCACAGTCCTCTGTTGGTCTAACGCCCCTCTGATAGTTAGGCTGACAGGTGGATTGGTGATTGCAGTACTGGTACGTCTCTCCTCTTTGGTGCTACTCCATCGGTAATCTACATATTTTATATCCATTAAGAGACTAGACGATTATATTGCGATCAATCAGAAGTCACAAGATATCATCATTACAGCCTATCAAATTGCTGCATATGGCATGCACATGCCATAGTTGCTACGCTTGGCAAGCGGTTATTTTTATTTAGGTGTTATCAGGAAGATGCTTTAGCCCATGTCCCGGTTGAGCTTCCCTTTGTAGCCTCTTACGACACCCACCTGATGATATGTGGTAGTGGATATTCTTACACCGCCACTACACTGTTTAATTTTATTTTTATCTACATAGATTGTGTAGATACGTCATTAGGACGTCTGAACATCTGCTATGACCAAAAGTGGAAGGAATTCGAAATGTTGAAGATATATATTTAAAAAAAAAATAGGGCAACTCTTTAATAATTTTATTTACAAATAAAAATTATATAACTTTATAACGATTAAAAATTAACAACCATTACAAAAATTGTGTTAAATTATTCTTAAATAAACAACATACCTTGCGTTGTACATTAAATATATAAAACTATAATTAGTTTTTATTTATTTTAGAATTATATCACATTTTAGATTGTAATTGACTTGTAGCCCGCCTAATTTTTATTTTTATTTTTTAAGATTTAAATCATTAGGATCAGAAGAAAAAATAGTTCAAAGAATATTGACTTAATTTGAGCTTTCCCTTACATACAAATAGTAACTGCTCTTTGTTCTTTAATTAGTATTGTTATCGTTATATATCTCGATCTTTCGATTTGATTGATTGAATGATCTTCACACATTCATTTTTGCAATATGACCATCACGTGGACTGCGTGCTCCTTGCACACTGTCCACCTAAAGGTTAGCGGATATTGCGGCCCATAGACATCTACATCTAGCTTCGATTAAAAATCAAAATGCAGATACGATATCACCCCAGAGGACTAAGATGGAAATTCTCATATCCATTAAACAGGGTCTCCGGTTCTTTACACTTTGTCATCTGCATTTTGATTCTTGATCGAGGATAGACGTGGATGTCTCTGGGCCACAGTATCCCATCAAGTGGACTGTGTGCTTATTTGTCACCCTTATTCAATAAAAAAACGAACTTATTTGTAGATAACAAAGCTGATTACATAATAAGAAAGACTGGTTTCATTTTAAAAAAGTGAGCTGCATATACTGTCGGAACCTGCATCAGTTGTTGCTAGGATGTTTTATAAGCTATTAGTCACTAATCCTTCGAAGTGAGCTTCTAGATCTAAGGATAGGGAAAGATTTGACTGGCATAACCCTCAAGATAAAAGCCTCAAAGAAGTAGAAAAAATACAGTACGCGTTCAATAATTGTTTACGCTAATGGAAAAATAAAAATGTTCTTCAGACCGAATTTCGGTCAAATCATCCAGTCTCAATGGACACTAGCCATCTGCGCAGAACGGAATTATAGTGCACGTGTGTATGTGCAGGCACAGGTGCACTCTGTATTCTGTCACTCTGATAGTCCGATGGGAAGAAAATTCGACATAACCAGAGAGAGATGAGCACAGTACCAATGGTTTTACGTGATTTCCGAAGCACAGGGTGAAATACCGCCAGCTTTCTGACTCCGGGCTGTTACTGAGAATTTCGTGATGTTATAAGGTAGACATTAACCTTTATAGTCTGTGGTTATAGAGTTGTCTGTGACGTAATGTCCATAGTCTATATTATATTGTGCTGAATAAATTATGTCTTCGGTCTGAGTATGTCTTATTTTTTAATGAATCAGTTTTAAATAAAATGAAAAGCGTCGTCGAGTTTTTTAAGCGGAGTAGGTACCCAAGCGAATCAAAAATTAGTCGCAATGCAGAAACGACAATGTTTTCCAAACCTTAAACTAAAACAAAACGTCGCCACCAGGTGGAACTCTACCTACGACATGCTGCATAGGTTTAGTTCGACGAAAGATGCTATTATAGCCACTATAGCCCTCATCAAAGCTGACCTAGCACTGACTAATTACGACTGGATGGTAATTCAATCGGTTCACCCTGTATTGAAAATGTTTTATGACGTTACAGTCGAAGTGAGCGGCGAAAAAAGTATATCATTAGCTAAGGTCATTCCATTGTGAAGAATTATGCTGGGTCATATTAAAATCGGGCTGCAAGTGCAAAATACAGATGCTAATAATGATATACCAGAAATAAAAAATGTCATCGAGCATTTACACAAGGAGCTGAATCATAGATTCGGTCACATCGAATCTAATATATTAAACGCGGAATCTACAATTCTGGATCCACATTTCAATAATAAGGGATTCCAGGACTCGAGATTGTACGGTAGGGCTCTGCAATACTTAAAACTGGACGAAGTTCGTCAAGGACAACAATAATGCCAGCGGTAGAGGCAGTGCAACCAGAACCTGGCCCTAATCACTCAATTTGGTTTGAGTTTGACCAAGAAGTGGGCAAGAGAATCATAGAACTCGATAAAAACCTACAGGAGCCGTCTTTAAAGCGTACAGTAAACCCCTTAAAATGGTGGAACATATATCCTCTATTATTTAATTATGTATTGAAAAGGCACAATCTCGTAGCTACGTCGGTTCCTTGCGAGACAGTGTTTTCGAAAGCGGGATATACGCTAAATGAACGTAGAAGACGATTGACGACAAAAAAGTGTCGAAACTCCTATTCATAAGTTGAAACTCTGACATTTGAATAAGTATAAGTATGTGTAAAAACCGATATGTACATACATATGTAAATGATGCTGTAAATAATAATCAAAAAATCACTGTAAATAGCCACTGATTTCTAAATACGCCAACCTAAGAATTTAATTTTTACTTAATAAATTCAACTACGTATACCTAATATTTTACACTATAACTGAAATAACTGCACGTAAATAGGTTGCCAGTCTTAAGCCTGGAAAAAGCCAGTCCTAAGTATGAAGGGAAATCAGTACACTATATAATATATATTTTCTACAAACAAATACAAACAATACATACCTACCCCACCTATGTTATTTTCGTTAATCATTAATTTAATTATTATTTTAAACTAAAAAATTAAGTTCATTTTTCGAATAGGTGCCTATTAATTTTTATCAATCATAACAAATAGATACCTTGGTACGGGTGGCGAGACCCGTAACAAGGTATTTTAAAACGCCCTCCGGCCCCTTGACTTGACTGGCGCAGCCAGTAGAATTTTCGCGTCGCGTTTTACTTAAATTCAGTTAAATACAACGAGCGTTTTCTAACGTTTTGAACGAAAACCCACGAACCAAATAAATTCGTCGAGAAGAAAAGCAGCGAGGACGTCACGCTACAGAACTAAGACTCATCGGAGGGACATGGGCAGTATGTGAGTAGCCTCAATCGCTATTCCATTTGCATTTTCCAATCCCATTCCATTTTAATTATAAGTGTTTAGAAAGTGGTATTACCAGAATTCGAAGTGCGTTATTATTTATTTTATTTAGAAATAAGTAAATTAAATTCAACTTGTGGCCGTAGGAAGGAAAAGGGGAGATCTCCCGCCGGGCAAGATGTTCTGCCCGGGGAGCGGCCAACGCTCCGAGTGGTAGCTCGGAGCTATTCTATATATATTGCTTTAATTTCGGAACTTTGTTAGCGCGATTTAGGCTTCGACGTGTTTCGCTTGTGGCGCGACGACAACGCCGCCACAAACTTATAAATTAAAAATTTATTATAAAATTTTATTAAATATTACTATTAAATTAAACTAATTATAAAAATACTTTAATAAAAATGCCTAAAATAACACATATTCCCAAGGAACTTTCTAGTATTATTGCAAAATTTGACGGTGATGAAAATTTACTTAACTTATTTATTCGTAAATGTAAATATGTTATACAGTTGTGTAGAGAAATAGGAAATATAGATGAAGATTTATACATATTTCAAGTTATTACGTCAAAGTTAGTAGGCAGAACCTTGAAACCTGGGGAGAATTAAAATTAACTTTTGAGCAACATTTCGGTGATCCACGGTCTGAAGAGTATATCGAGATCGAATTGGAAACTTTAAAAATTAATAACGGTGAATCATATCTCGATTTATGCAATAGAATACAATATATAAAGAGTACGTTAATATCGAAAGTTAATAGAGTAGTAGATATTAACCTTCGTAACAGTAATATTACTATGTATAACCATATGTCTATGAATGTTTTCTTATATAATTTGCCCGAGGATTTATTGCGCATTGTATGGTTAAAAGGATGTGACACCTTAGAAAGTGCTTTGAGCATAGTGCTTGAAAAAGTTAATTTCTTGTACCAATATCAGGCGAGAAATAAAATGTTACGATCACCGAACAACGTCCAACATAAAGCTCAGCCAGTGTCTCATAATCCCTTTATTGACAAATTATCAATGAAACCATTCAACAAAACCATCTAACAAAACACACAAATGCCACAACAAAGTTTTAAAATTAGCACACCCCAAAACACACCAACAGGAGACCTCACTTTCAACAGCCTCAGCAATTTCAACCCCAACATATTTGGAATACCGCCAAGCAAGCATATTAAGTTACCAACACTTTGAAATTAGGCCACAAACCCTTCAACAAACCATATGATATAAGCCGCAATTAGGTGTAACACCATAGTTTAGATATAGACCAAACTTTAACCAAGGTCACCAACCCACTGGTTATAGACCACCACCTCATTTACAACGACCACAATTTCAATCGACCGATGTAAGCATGCGTACAGCCCCATCTGTGAAGCCTCAAGGTTTTCGTATGAACGAGTTATACGCGCTTAACGAAAACGGTGATGATACTTATGGCGACACCCAGTACTGTGTGTGACCACACGCAAACGGGACGAAATTACTTATTGCGAAAATTTTCGAATAGAAGCCTCGGATCAAATCATATCAATTATACATAAATTGTAATCCTAAATTAAAATTACCCTATATAGAAATACCCGCAATTAATGCTAAGTTTATGATCGATACCGGAAGTTCTAGATCATTCATAATCCCTTCTAAAACAAACTATTATTATGCGAACTTTAAACGTTACGAACCATTTGAAGTTATCAATACACACACATCTAGTTTACATGATGAAGTAATAATTATACCCATATTCCCGACTTTCAATGGTGATCCGATACATAAGTTTTATGGATACGATGTCGACGACCGCTATGACGGACTTATTGAAAGCAATCTTCTTAAACAATTAGATTCCAAAATCGATATGAAAAATCAAATATTACAGACAAATTCACCCATAATTTTTAATCCAACTAACGAAATTAAAATAGCTCCGCGTTACGAACAAAGAATTAGAATTAATGCCTTAAATAAAATGGGAATTTCATCCACTCATGCAAATGTAGATAAACACGAAGATAAAAATAAGGAAATTTAGGACTTAAGAAAAAAAAATATTAAAGAATTAGACGAATTGCAAAAAAAAGACATTTAGACCACAACCTCCGGAATCGTCTATTTCAGATACAGACTCTGAGAAGGCTATTGTTATAGAGGATAGAGATTCAGATAAAACCCTATCAATTAAATTCGATCATTCCATACCGTACGTAGCACATATAAAGCCCCCGAAAAACTCTCTAGTATAGAAACCACACATTCAGGACAAGACACTGAATCACAGGGAATTCCAACCTTACAAGAAGCGATCGACATCAAATCCAATCAAATTTTAGTGGTCAGCTGGAACATAGACAAATTATCTGTAAAAAACTTGTCTAGGGAAAAACAAAGAATAAAACTAAATACTATAATAATAAAATTACTAATTCAGAGAACATCGTAAACAGTTCTATGAATTAGTAATTTTCTGGTTTAAAAAGGAAATTGTACAATTTTTAGATTGCACTAAAAGAGTCGTATACGTAGATAATGAAAAAGAACAAAGAGACATAGTTCAGAAATACGAGGCGTGCCTTTTAAGTTCTGTCGTTTACATATTTACCGGCAATTTTGAATTTGGAACTGTTCAATATTTAACTTGGTTTAAAGTCAGAATCCCAAAACAATTGAAAGTATGAGGATTAATGCTATTGTTTAGTCACATAGTCGTTTTGAATCTGTCAGGTCACGTATGAAAATAAATCTTACTAGGGAAAATATCCGTGAAATAATTTTCTACAACTTTCGAAGAGGTCTAACAGGGCTTCAGTGTTTCAAAGAGCTAACTTCTGTGTTCCAAGATGAAGCCCCATGTTTGAGAACAGTCAAACGCTGGTATTTAGAATTCCAGCGTGGAAATATCAATCTTAGTGACAAATCCCGTGAAGGATGTCCAAAATCCGCCTTCACTGAAGAAAACATCGTTGCTCTGAGAAAATAAATTTTAATTTAAACTATAGCATGTAATTGAGACATTTTGCATGGCATGAGCCTAAATATGGCGATCAACAATGTAAACTGACCACTGTAACACCATCTGTACCCATATTGCGCAAATAAAGAATTAAATTGAAATAGAAAAACAAATTCTCGAAGACCGTCATGTGATATATCGAGAGATAGACGTTATTAGGCACCTCGGGGACAATCATTCAAAAGATCTTGCATGAAGTGCTTGGTGTGAAAGCTAATTTGCCGTTGGATCCCACATTTGCTTTCAGACTATCATAAGACTACCCGCGTCAGATGCTGTAAGAAAACTCTTCAAAGGTTCAACCGAGACTCAAATCACGTCTACGACATCATTAGTGGTGACGAATCTTGGATCTACGCCTACGATCCCGATTCTAAACATCAATCTACAATCTGGGTCTTTCGACTAAAGTGGTTCGTTCTCGAAGCACTTCAAAGAAAATGGTGGCCACGTTTATTGCGAAAACCGGCCATGTTGCGACGAAAGCACTTGAAAATCGTAGAACGGTTAATGCAGAGTGTGACAGTGAGAGTATGCAGAATTTGAACATGACACTACAAACAACCATCAAAACAACTTAAAAATATCAGTCTGACCCTCATTTAGGAGTTTCTATATGTCGCTCTTATAGTTCATCAATATTAATAGCTTTCCACAGAAATACGTACGAATAACTCCACAGGAGTGTAAGAAAATGACTGATCATGTAATTCACATTGAAAATAAATATAAAGAAAGGGATAGAATAACAGAAGATAATTCAGAAAGTTTTATTATTCATGTTGGAGATAAGTGATACCAGTGGGTCAAATGAATATTTCCACATGGAAATCTTAGATTCAGATTTCGATTATAGTAATGAATAAACCAAAATTATTATAGAATATTGTTGTTTTCTTTTTCATTCAGATAATACCTAGTCGTATTTTTATTCCAACAAAGTAAAATGAACGCAAGAAAAATGTCTCTTGGGTTTGGATCGTAAAGGGTACACATGATTTTACATCTTCAGTTTACTTCGTCTGATAAAAAATAAGTGTGGCGGCGCTGTCGTCGCACTACAAGCGAATCACATCGAAGCCTAAATCGCACTAACAAAGTTCCGAAGTTAAAGCAGCATATATAGAATAGCTCCGAACTACCACTCGGAGCGTTGGCCGCTCCCCGGGCAGAACACCTTGCCCGGCGGGAAATCTCCCCTTTTCCTTCCACCGGCTACATACGACTTTACATACACCGGGTACCGTAGGTTCCCATTTTTAGACCTGTCCACATTCTGTCAAGCAGTAGTGTACAAATACTGTTTCATACAAAAACGTATCAAGTCAGGTTATTCCAGGTACTTCATATAAATTTTGGGGTTGATAGGCTGAGATTTTTAAAATTTGCCACGCTTTTTCAGTCCTTACTTTCGTTTGCCCGACTCTATGAAGTTAGATGTCAAAACCGGCGTAAAAAGTGTGAAACGGAACGGTATTGACGGCCAAATATAATATATTATCTATTACTTCAAATGTCAACCTTGATTCTCTAGTAGTCACGCAAACGTTCTCTCTTGTGCTTAGTGCTGTGTTTTCCCTGTTTTTTCGACGACTTTTGCTCTGTTTTTGGACTTTTTTCAATGCCATTACGTTTGACCTTGTTTGACTTTGATTCTGGATTTGATTAGATTGCATTACTATGGCCTTTGGTTTGCTTACTGGACCTGAGAATGAGCGATTACGAACCCGCAGCGGGGGCCCTTTTCGGCGTCTGACGCTTTACTCGAGGCATCATTACACATCGACACGAAGACTACTTTGACGGCGGCGACTATATGAAGAGTCGGCTATACGTGTCTGAGATTTTATTCATGTGGAATCTGTCGGTTACTGTGCGCGAACTTGGAACAAAGTATTCGATATAGTGAGGATGAAGGGCTGGTCTTTAAAGAACGAAGGTGCAGCAAACACAAAACTAATATGAAAATACTCAAGTGGCTGTCAATTGTTTGGTGCTTCCATATGTTCTGAAGCATCCTGTAAGGGCAAAGCTGAAAGCAATGGAGTTAAAATCTCACGACGACCAGGGACTTTTTTAAAAACTTAACTCTTGATGTGATCCACATATATTACCTCATGTATGCATATTCACAAAGATGATATTATAATCAAACGATTCATGAAGACATGTACAAACGACAGGGATAACAATCCTTAAGCCCAAACACAATATGTGATTCGTATAATTACTGATAAGAGGTAGTTGTCATATACTACTTCAAGAAACACAATCAGTTTTCTGGAAAGATTGGTGGCCCTGGTAAAATTGTGCAAATTGATGAGAGCAAATTTAAAATCATGCGAGCAATAAAGCATGTATATAAAATAAAATAAATAATCAAAACAAAAATAACAATGTTTCATTTACCACTACTATAACAGAGTTTAAAGGACAACCTGACTTTACAGATAAGATAGGTAGAATCTGTACTAAAACCGAATCAGCACGCTCCGACTCCACGTAGTCTTGTCTGCCCTACCATTAGAGTGTTTTTGCAAAAGTAACTCTGTCAATATTCCTATGTAAGTAAAAAAGTGAGGTAATGATTTTACAAAAAAAAATATTACTCAGAAACTAAACATTTCCGCAAGGGGGGAATGGTACGGGGGGCTCCCCCTGAACCAGCCCGATTTTACCAGCGTACGCGAGTACCGGATGTCTGTAGTTTTACCGTGCCGTCTCCAGGGCCAACATCACCATTAACTAAACGAGATTATTTTAATACATTTTACGATTACAAACCTACTAATGATCGTGGTGCTTTAAGTTCAGATTCAGAAAATATTCCTCCAAATGAAAAGACACTGAAAACGAATGAAGTGGTATTCACTTTGGAGACATGTTTGAAGACCGACGTAGACAGAAACGAGCTTAACCCGAAAGTAGAAAAAATTATTACTAAGCGATTAACGATAGAGGGGAAAGAGTATGTAGGTTACTGAAGGGCAAAGGTCGAGAAATTGCAAAGCCAAATTCGAAACCAAAGGTTCTTTTACTTTTAGCCTTTCGTTTTTTGAGCAGGTACCTTAGTTTATTTTCTTCTAGAGTAATTCTACAGATGAAACCACTATCAAGGAGTGGGCCGTGAAATTTTTATTCAAACTTTGTGTCTTAGATCAGCTTCAGTTTAAAATTGGGCAAAAAAGGAATAAGTGGCATGAATATATCTGGAAAAAAAACCGTCCTTCATCCTAGATCGCCACTTTCTCAGAGACGTGACGTTCTTGATAATTTCTGAATGAATTAACTTAAATGCCGTCGCATTACAACTGTCTTAACACAAAAAAGTCTAGGGTAAGGCGAGGCTTAAAGGTTCGCGGATAAAAAAGGTCCATCGTTACTATCTCGAAAAATAAACGTCCGTTATACAATTGAGTAACTGGCGTTTGAAGGAGCTTTTATGCGACTCCCGGAGTGAGCCCTCGAGCGCCAGCGAGTGTGCGCGCACGCGGTCCCAAAAATACATGTAAGTAATATTTTTCATATCACTTAACATTAGTCTCACAGTTCCGTTACATTACAAAATTAAACTTCTGTTCGTACACGGTTTGTAGTTGTTTTACGTAGTATTATTGGTTTTTGTGTGTACAGTTTTGTTTATTTTTAACCTCTAACTAAAATGAACTTGTACTTTGTGCCCCGTAGTTAACCTTTTAGCCCTACAAAAACAATTATTTAGTTGTTTGTATCATTTATTTTTAGAATGCGAAATTACACAGGAACTACTGAGCGTGGTACAAATCAGTGGAGTTGATGAAGCATACGGCAGAGCTAGTCACAAATGAAAATAAATGTAAACAAATCACTCAGACAAGTTTGTCCTGACTATGAAATCAGCAAAATCTCACTGATAAGATTCATGACACGTCTAAAAGAAAAACAACTACCTAACAACTGCCTATAGTAATATACTTGGATGCTTGCAGGAACTAAAACTGAAAAAATGTACTTTCTAATGTGCTATTAAAATTAAGCATAAAGTACAATATTACAACTGCCCAGAAGTTTTTAGGACCGTTCATAACGGTAATAATACAACAAAAAATAAAAATCAGGAGATTCACATGCCACGTGATTATGTCACCACAACCAAAGAAGCCCGTAGCTTCATGCCATATGAAAGTTCTGGTATGTTACAATTTAATCGAGAATTATACCACTTTTGAGAATTTAATTTATAAGAGTAATATGATATAACGCGATGACTATCGAAGTAAAGCTAGCCTTTGACGCACAGCGACCTAAGAAGTTGTAACCGAACGAAGTAACATATCGTCAACTTCATTCGAACAAACACCCGTTAAGGCAACTAAGTATAATCACCTACAACAACTGAAAACAGTTTTACCTAGTGACTGCCATGCTTTTAATGATGCTTTGCCTAGCTTTTTTAAGTCCAGCTGAAGACAGTTCATTAAAAGAATGTATTATTATCATCATCATCATCATTATCACAGCCCTTCACAAATCAACTGTTGAACAAGGAATGCCGCAAAACACACGTCTTGAGTCACTTACATCTTTTACCAGGTCGAGGCTACCACTCGAGAACCTTACATCTCCATAGGTTGTCAATTCTTCGAGCTATATGGCCGACCCACTGTCACTCCAGCTTACTGATCCATTGGTCTTTGTTGAAGTCGTCAATGGCAACACGCAATACTTTAAAAGTTAATTACGGGCAAGACACCTGTTATATTATATAATGTTCTTTAAATTGTAATTTGTTACAGTATATACTTTGTCTATACTTGTTTTTTTTTTTTTTATAGAAATAGGGTGACAAACGAGTACACAGTCCACCTGATGTTAAGTGGTTGCTGAGGCCCATAGACATCTACATCAATCCTCGTTTGCGAATCAAAATGCAGATGCGTTGTCAACCTTGAGGACTAAGATGGAATGCCTCTTTTCCAGAAAAAAGGGTTTCCGGTTCTGTACACTCACCGTACGAAACACAGCAGCATGAAGCTGCTATTTTACGCTGGTATCCTGTGAGAGCGCGATCCTTCCCCGGTCGAGCCGACCCATTCGTGCTACAACTGTACTATAAATATAGCTGCAGCTTGGCTCTACCACATAAAAATTGGTCCATTGTCCATCTGCTTAATAAATTATGTCGTCCGTCTCAGTGTCTTGTCATTTCAAACAATCTTCTTTAATCGCACATATAATTAAACACTTCAAAGGAAAAACGCAATAACTAATCTTGGCCTAACCCAGTATCACATAATCAACAGACCCAAATTCTTTTACAGTATTTGCGGACTTGCCACGATGGCGAATACCACTGACGATCAAAGCGCATCTCGCGACATAAATGAGAGTAGGTCAACGCCAGCTCAAGGTGTACAGAGTAGGCAGCGAACTAAGATCTTTGGAAAATGTTCCAAAGGTTCTGAGAACGCAGCAGCTCCACCGTTACCGCCGCGTGATCCGAATTCTACCGGTCCAAGACCCACCAAATTATCTACGACATCAACAAAGCCAAAGGACGAACCAATGTTCTCCGATATTGATATGATGGGGTTTCCGGGTGTTGCACCCTATTGCAGGATGAACTAGTTTGCAATCACCGCTGAGGGTTTCATTCCCTTATGCGAGAAGGAGTACGATGTCATCGCTACTCAACAACCTTATTTTGCAAAGACCGTGTCGAAAGCTGCATGGGTTTACTATTGCATTCAGGGCTTATACGCCGGTTTGATCAGTCTCAGACAGGAGGAAGGGGACTCTACATATGCAGAGGACTCTTACGCTGCACAGATTTTGTCAGGTAATCCACCAGCCTCCAGCACCGATTGAGGCTTATATAAGGCCCTCGGTAATATAGTCGACAGTTCATCTGTCCGTTATAAGCTGCGAATGCCTGCATGGCCTAATCAAAATGGTCATTTTAAACGAGTGACAGCAGAAACACATTGGATGTATATATCACTACCTTGTCCAGTTGTGTGCAGAAGACGTACGTATACAAGAAGATCTCACGATAACCGCTGCTCCAGGAGTTAGAGAGTGGAATCTTCCAGAAGATTTACGTCCGGCTGAGGAAGGTGCAGGAATGCCAACCCGTAACTGTTTAGGTTGGGCAATGGCTTCTACATTAACTAATGATCAGGTTGCTTTCTTAGAAAGCGCTAACATTATGGAAGACGTGTTTCCTGTCAAATTCCCACAATTCCAGTATAATACCGAGCTGTTTGAGAAGGTCTCCCTAGCACTCACTAAGACAGAGGAGAAAATCAAGATCCTCCCGCAAGTGGAGAAAAATGCGGAAGGAGCTCTCGCTCAGGTTTAATGGACCGTCGTTGAACCGATTGAACAAGACACATCTCCGAATGTGTTCTATGCCGAGAGTCAGAATAACCAAGTGGTGACAGCTGCAGAGACTGACGCACGTCAAGTGCTCGCAGCATTGATCCTATCCTATAGGGTTCGAAAGGATCAGATTGGAAATAGGCGTCCTTATTGCGTTTATTCCTTTGGGGATTACGCGAACGTACCTGGACCATGGCATGATACTCGCAACCACGTATTTAATTACGGTCGTGATAGGCGGTGGAATATCATGGAGTATACCGCTCCATTCACCGATAAATCACAGTATCGTTTAGCATGGCTATACGCCACGTTAAATAACCGGATTGACACTGGGAGTCACGCCCCAAACTCGTAATCTATTTGGAGCGAGTTGAGTGAATTATTTGCTATTATCATATTAGATATAAGTTAAGACCTGAAATATCATATGAGTCTTTGGCATTTATTCATAAGTTTAATATTTCATATTTAATATTAATATTTCATAATTAACGGACCACTTACAACCGTAGACCGAGGCAGGCAATAATAGGAAACTGTAATAATGAATGGGAATGACATAATATGTCTATGTTAAGTGTCACTTTTACCATGTCGTTGCGGTGTAAGAAATCCACTACACCATATAATCACGTGGATGTCGTAAGAGACGACAGAGGGAAACAAATCAGGAGATGCGATCAACAGTATATTCCTAATAACAACTAAAAATAAAAAGCTGCAGTTGCCAGCCCGCTTGCCAAGCGTGGCAACTATGGCAAAATCCTTCCTATGAGGCCAATCTATGCGTTAGGCCTACGGTCAGCAGTGACTTTAATAGGCTGCAATGGTAAATGTAATTGTCAATATATTTTTCTATTAGGCTAACCCACAAGTCACTTTTGAGTCTTGTTATTCATATTAAGGCCGCTTACAGTCTATTTAATTTTCCCATATTCATAAACTACTTTTAGTTATATATGGTAACCCTGATTCTTTGTACAGTTTGTTCCAGAATTCGATGCGCTCCCGCTCTGCATATGTGCTCATTGACATTTCTTCATTTATGCTCATAAATTCTCTTCCGTTCACTGTGTAAGGAAGCCATTTTGTACTGTCTGGTGTAGGGTTGCTGAAATAATTATAAAAAATATTACAGTAAAGAGGATATCGGAATAGAGCAAGATAGCCGACAAAGACAAAAAATTAAAGAAGTCAGCATCTCATATTGCCCCAACACCTCCTTGAAAACTGGACCACCATCGGAAGCAATAAGATCTTTCTGGCAATTGCCATAGTTGTATCTAACAACACCCATGGGACGAAATTGGGCGATGGATTCCCTTAGGTCACTATCACAGACTACCAAACTACTGTTTATATTCAGTAGTTTTCACAGACTGGTAAGCAAACAAGGAGGTTTTTTATGGAATATATAATCTGCAATTCCCCCGGTGTTACAGTCATTCATGGGCGACGGTAGTCACTTACCATCAGGTATGCCGCATGCTCGTTTACCCCCACCCTTATATAAATAAAAGAATAAAGGTGAAAACGATCACACAGTTCACCTGATGGTAAGTGGATGCTGTGGCCCATAGACATCTACATCTACCCGCATTTAGGAATCAAAATGCAGGTGCTTTGTCACCTCTGAGGCCTATAATATGAATGCCTAGTTTTCAGTAAAAAGGGTCTCCAGTTCTCTACACTCACCATATGAAAGATTAAGCTGCTATTTCACGCTGGTATTCTGTGAAAACGTTGTCTTTCCCCGGTCAAACTGACCCAGTCGTGCTACAACCATAATAAAGCTGTAGCATGGCTCTACAATATATAATAATAATCTTTATTGATAATTATATGGTGAATATGTGAAGTCTCTGATGTCGGGTGTCACCCAGCATAGTGAGTGTGGTCAATTCTTTCAAGTAACGCATACAAGCAGACGTACATTGGGTAATGTAAATAAAAAGATTAACAAAAAATATAAGATTAAATAAACTTACCTGGTTTTAGCAAAATCGGCCCATAATTTAGTGATAGTGTTAATTAAAACTCTCAACTTTTCCTGCTCTTCATAACAGTCCTTGTTCATTGCATTGTTGAATAAATAGAACAACTCATCAACATGACTAGCACCTTTATAATCTGTATACCCTAACATTTGTTTAAATATATTCAAGTCAGTAACACAATCAAATCTATAAAAGTAAATAGATTTAAACAAATTCGCGTAAAAATGACAAAATCTATGACAATTATATACGAAATGCATGTCAGAATTAATGTCGGACAATATATCTATATCATTTTCGGTTATGTCACGATTTCCCGCGTAAAATCTTTTTATTCTGTTACCAAAATCTGTTAGGATATTTACTGCAACTTTTTCAGCTATTTCTCTAGGCACAAAAAAAGAGGGGTTTTTATTTAGAAAATCCAATTTTTTAACTTGATTTTTTGCAACTGTGAGACCTTCGGCGGAATTATATCCAACTATAAAAGGAACTTTGTTAATTTTTCCAGCTAATAATAATTTCATTGGCTCTTCTGTGAGAAAAGCTTCAGTATTTTGGAATTGCTTTTCAACAACTGGAGCAAAATGGATCGGTAGTCCCCGATGCTTTTCATCATACGTCATTGTTTTAAATGTTAATTTAACTAATTTGTCAACTGTTGTATTCTGAAAGAAATGCAACAATTCATTTGAGTTCTCACTATCTTTCCCTAAAAACTTAGCTGCTCTTATGGCCCTTTCTTTGCCGTTCTTGCCTTGCGCCCAATCTGATATACACACTCCACTTTGAGCTATTGCTTTATGAAATAACCCTGTAGACATTGGTGAAAACATATGGAACGTCACTGCTGCTGCCCCAGCACTTTCTCCAAATATCGTAACGTTGTCAGGATCTCCACCGAATTGCTCTATATTGCTTTGAACCCAACGCAGTGCAGCAACTTGGTCCTTCATACCAGCATTCCCAGGAACTTCTGGAGAATCTAAGCACAGATAGCCCAAAACTTCCAGTCTATAGTTAATTGTCACTAGTATAACATTATGTTGTATCAAGAACTCTGGTCCATACATAGAAGTGTCCCCCGACCCAGACATGTAAGCTCCACCATGGAAAAACACCATTACAGGCATTTTAGAGTCTCGTACCAATGACTTTGTGTAAACATTTAGAAATAAGCAGTCCTCACTCCCTTCTTGAAATTGGCCTGTTATTATATCAACCTGTGGACATACTGGGCCATGTTCGATAGCTTTGTAGGTGCCATTCCAAGGTTTCGGCGGTTGGGGTGCCTGAAAGCGTAAAACAAAATTATATACACTATACTTGTAGTTCAGTTAAGTTTAGATTTTTGATAATGATAAACTTAGATAAAGGGCGGCCTCCAACTAGATGGAGTGATGACCTGGTAAGACATGCAGAGTCGATAGTTGCAGGTGGCATTCCTTGATTGAGGTCTATGTTTAGCAGTTAAATTGTGAAAGGCTGTAATAAATAAATAAATAAAAAGTAATCAAAAATTTAATTTTATCATAGCGCATCACATAGATGAGTGTATTATTATTATTATTAAAATGTAAAATTATGAATTGTTTGGCAAACGAATAATTTAGGTAGATGGCTCCGTGGCTTAGCAATGTGTTTCGGTGGTAACGGCCGCAGGAACAAGTACTTGTACAGCCTACAAGTAATTGTTCCAAATCCGAATGTTTGCCTTGTGCAATTTATGTATGTAAACTGCTTCCACAATACAGCATTTTCCTAGTGTAGGGGTCACATATTAATATATAAAGGAATATGTAAAGAATGGGGAGCAGATAGAATGGAACACTACTAGGGCAAGTATAGCTTGCATTTATTTATTTATTGCACACCTAGAACGCGAAGCGAGAGCTTTACTGTCGACTTTAAAAGATCACACTAGCGAGAAAATCATTAGCTGAATTAACAGATAGCTGCAGAGTGGATGATAAGGTTAATAAGTGATGGGATGAAGTTTCTTTCTTTTTTGGCCTGTTTATTGCTCCCCAGACTTGCTTAGGATTATTACCAGCTTTTTTAATACATTTTTTTCATATTCTAATTATATATTTTTGTTTTATTTTATTCGTTAGAAGGATCAGGTTGGGGTTAGCTGGATTAAGTTACATGCCGACAACAGCTGGATGTTCGAGTGTTGCGAAGAATGGGCAGTGTGTATTAACTGCCCAAACAGAGTGTCGTCACAACTGAGAGGCAATGGAATCCTACATCTTGGCTCTATGTGTACCATGAAAGGAACGGATTCTACAATTTTAGCACACAATAATTTCATCAATAAAATTAATATCAGGGAAAACATAGAATTCCCAGAGGTGTCCATCTTAAACAAATTGATTAACACGTCCACTTAACACGCAATTACGAGCAGACGGTCAAGTACAAAAATGGTGTTCACTTAATATGCAAATAGTGGAACCAAAGGAAACAGTCTCGTGGTGGACTAAGCGTACACAATGTACACCACTATACACTTGGGTATATCATCATCGGCGTACTATTGCATGTGAGCCGTGTCTTCGCGTTTCAGCGGTTACGAGTGAGGTGTCACCAACGCGCTGCGGCGCCGGCGGGACCCACTAAAAGTTCGTCACACGACCAGCAGCAACCTGGGGAGGGTACACACCCAGCGGATAGTGATAGTGCTAGTGAAGTGGTGAATGTGAATACAAAGTGTTCCGATAGATTTATGCAAATCACTAATAAGTGTCAATAAGCCTACGTCCCCTATGACTAATCATTAATTTAAGATACCTTGCATTAATGTGTCGTGCTCTGTAACCCATGAACTATTATATAACATTAAGTAGCAATATTAAGTCAAACACATCTGTATATCACATTGTTGCATCTCACTAATCATTGTCTCATCTATCAGTCATTTGCATTAGTTGTAACTATAAAAATGAGATTTCTGCTGTCAGAGTGATTGGTGGTTACACGTTTTTTTCTACTGAAATAAGTTTTTAATTATTTTTCGATTTAAATCTGCGTAAACTTTCTCAATTTTCTTTGTGTTGTCTGTGTGTGTTCTGTTTGTTAGTTGGTGAGTATTATTTGTTTAGACAGTTGATGTAGATCTTTGTGAAGAAGATGGATGTTGACGGGGGAGATGCTGAACCACCGGATTTATGCGGTGATTCTAGCTCTGTCAAACGTAAACTTACGGATCCTTTACCCAGCTTGCCAAAGAAAAAAATAGGGCACGAAGATCACCCTTCAGCCTCCTACCAATATACATTCGTCCATCCTGAATTCCAAGAAAAAAAGAAGTATGTAGATAGCGATAAAGGCCCCTTCGTTATACATTTAAGTCGATCAGAACCTGATCCATCAGCAGGTTATACAATTAGACCTGTGAAAATTGGCCATATCCTCTCACAAAATAAAGTAGCCAATATTGAAAAACAGGGCATCAAAATCTTAGGGCGTAATAGAGTTTCAATTGCTTTTAAAACAGCTACTGATGCTAATAATTTTATTGACTCTCAGTTTCTTTCGAAATATAAACTTTCTGCTGTCATTCCAACTTTTAATGTTACTCGTATGGGTGTCATTAGAGGTTTCCCAACTGACATCTCTATGGAGGAATTAGTTTGTGAATCTGAGCTCCCTCCTGGCAGAGGGGAAATCATTAAAGCCAGAAGACTTAATAGAAAGGTCAAGAAGGGCGATGAAGTAGAGTTCAAAGACTCAAACTGCTGTCCTAATATTCTCTGGACAAGTGCTCCCCTCCCATATATACTGCTTTTATGCATCAATTCCTGTAGAGACTTAGCTTCTCCCAAACATCCAGTGTCTAAAGTGCTGCCGTTTCTGTCATGTCAAAGCTCAATGTCGATCCAAACCACGCTGCTTTAAATGCAGCAAAGAGCATACTGGAGAAAATTGTCCCACAGATTCCCCAACCTGTCTTTTCTGCTCTGCAAATCATTCGGCCATTGAAAAAAGTTGCCCTGAACACTAAAGGCAAAAAGCTATCTAGATGGTAATGTCGCATGAGAATGTGTCATACCTTGAAGCCTCTGCTCGTTTCCCAGCTGTCAGAAGACCTTATTCTGATGTTGCATCCTCACAAGTTCCTGCAAGCCATCTCCCCTCTACTCAGGCTCCTATAAACCTTCCTAATTTTTCATCTCCTTCCCAATCCTATAGGAAAACCATCTATAAAACCAAATCTATCCCAGTGCAATCTTCAGTAGGTTATGATAAAGTTTCACATTATAACATTACAAGTACTCCGTCTTCATCTCTCCCCAATGGACATGCACTACAAAACAATGTAATATCCTCTAATGACAATCTTCTAGAAAATCTTGTGGCCTCCCTTACAGATATTGTTGGCAAATTTGATGATTCCCATTTACCGTTCAACGTGAAAAACAAACTAGATGTCCTCTTCTCCAGAATATATAAGGTTAGAGTCCCTAACCCTCCTCCAGTGGAATTGTCGGAGCATCAGGAATAAGAAACCTGATATAATTCACTTAATTAACTCTTATAATCCTTCAATACTTGCAATATCAGAAACCTGGCTTAAGCCAGGGTCCCCATTTAGAATCCCAGGCTTCTTCTGTTACCGTAGTGATAGGAGTGACGGCTATGGCGGTGCTCTGATTCTACTAAACAGGACCATTCCTTTATCACCTATCCAGCTTCCTCCTATACTAGGCAATATTAATGCAGTAGCTGTTAAAGCTTTGGACATCACAATTCTATCCATCTACATTCCATCACCCACTCCTTCTTGTATTCCAGAACTCAATTTAATCCTATCAAGCATTGTTCCACCTTACATTGTTCTAGGAGACTTCAACAGCCATCATGTTATGTGGCGTTCCCATAAAACTGACTCTTTTTCTTATTTGCTACTTGATGTCTTCAATGAATTTAATCTTTGTCTTCTAAATGATGGTTCTCCCACCAGAATGTCCTACCCTTCGCAGAATACTAGATCCGTAGTAGACTTGTCATTGTGTTCTCCAATCTTGGCTGCTAGCATATCATGGAAAACTCTTCCTTCCTCTTTTGGTAGTGATCACTTTCCGATCCTCTTAAACCTAAGTAATAGATGTGTCCCTGCTCGAAGTATATCTCCCCTTTTCAAATTCAACCTGTCTGAAGCTGATTGGGATGTATTTTCCTCAGAATCAGAACTTCATATCAATAACCTTCCCCCAGTTTCTTTGGATAACCTTCAGAGTGTCTACTCCCAATTTATAACCCTTCTGAATAATATAGCCTGCAAAATTTTCCCTTTGAAGAATTCCTCCACAAAAAAAATTTCTTCACCTCCATGGTGGGATGCAGACTGCTCCTCAATTATTAGTAAACGAAAGGCTGCAGAAAGGCTATATTCCTCTAACATGACCATGGAAAATTTTCTAGACTATCAAAAAATAGCTGCTCAGACCAAAAAACTTCTCTCCTAAAATACAAAAAAAGGATGGCTTTCATTCTGTGAGAGCTTATCTCCCCGATCACCTTCTTCTCTTGTTTGGAAAAGTATCAGGCGCTTCCGTGGTGCTTTAAATTATAGTAATCCCCCTTGTGCAGATCCTTCCCACTGGTTAGACGACTTCAGTAACAGACTGGCTCCCCCCTGGGTTCCATTGGAAGAAGAGATATTTCCTAACTCTAAATCATTCATCTAACTCTCCTAATAACCTTAATGAACCATTTTCAATAGCTGAACTGCAGTTAGTTCTTGGGCACCTAAAGGATTCCACTCCTGACATTGATGGTATACCCTACTCATTTTTAGTTAATATGGGTACTAAGTGTAAGCAGTTCTTTTTAAACATCATTAACTTTGCTTTTACAACCGGTTCCATTCCTCATGATTGGAAAACTCATATTATTATACCCATTCTAAAATCTGGTAAAGACCCTTCTTCACCATCAAGTTATCGCCCTACTGCTATTTTATCAACCTTGTCTAAAATCATGGAGCACCTCGTAAAAAATCGACTTGAGTGGATTCTTGAAAATAGAGGCATTATACCAAAGAGCCAATTTGGTTTTAGAAAAGGTTTTAGCACAATGGATAGCCTTAGCATCTTAGTATCCGATATAAGACTTGCCTTCTCCAATAACAATTTTCTGGTAGGCGTTTTTATTGATGTTTGTGCGGCATATGATAATGTTGTTCTCCCACTGCTCAGGCAAAAAATGCATCAGTTGAACATTCCTGAGAGAATAACAAATTTCGTATCAAACTTACTTTCACATAGACGCATATTAGTCCGTTCTGAAGGGAGATTTCTACCAGCTAGATTTACCTGGAAGGGACTACCACAAAGCTCTGTCTTGAGCCCTTTGTTATACAGCCTCTACACTCATGATCTAGACAGATCTGTGAATTACTTAGGTAATGTCCTGCAATATGCAGATGACCTAGCCTTGTTTGTAACTGATGCCTCTACTGCCAAAGCTACCTCCCGTTTACCCCAAGCTGTCAACTATCTTAATAACTGGCTATTTGAGCATGGCCTATCAATATCTCCTTTGAAATGCAGTACTGTGGTTTTCTCTAGGCGAAGGCAAATACCAGAAGTGTCCACATATATTGAAAATACCCTAATCCCCACTGAAAGTCAGGTGAAATTTCTAGGAGTTATTCTGGATAACAAAATGACAGGAATTCCTCATCTATCATATATTGCTTCCAAATGTGAAAAAAACCTCAATGTAATCCGATCCCTGTCAGGAGCCTGGTGGGGTTCCCACCCCTACTCCCAAAAGCTTTTATACAATGCTCTTATTAGAAGTCATTTTGACTATGGCTGCTTTTTACTGGAACCATGTAGCAAAGTGGCTCTTAATACCTTGGACAAAATTCAGTCAAAATGTCTACGTATAATAACAGGTGCCATGAAATCTACTCCCATTTCTGCTCTACAAGTTGAATGTGTTGAGCCCCCCTTATTTCTACGTAGACAATATCTCTCAGATAAGTTTCTGTTCAAAGCTGCTTGTTATTCACACCATCCTCTCCTCTCCAAACTTCTTTCATTGTATCAGTCGGTCAGGGACTCTCCATATTGGTCCCACAAGGATTTGCCATGTATTATAAAAAGTTATATTAAATTCGTCAATGTTCACTCTCCTGTTTATCAATCCCATAGCAATCCACTTTTCAATATCCCATACGAGGCTCTAATTTTCAACCCAGACATTATTCTAAATTTCGGAATAGATAAGAATACTATTGAAGTAAATAACAAATTAAATATGCTCCTCCTCCAAAATCGGCATGATTGGTTAATTATGTACACTGATGCTTCAAAGCTAAGTGACGAGGGATTAGTTGGGTCCGCAGTCTGGATCCCCAAATACAAGATTATTTTAAATTTTAACTCTCCGCCTGACTCATCTTTATTCACAGGTGAGTCTTTAGCTATTTTAGAGGCAGTCTTATATGCGGAATCTCACAATCTGGAAAGGACTCTCATCTTCTCAGACTCCCTCAGTTGCCTTCAAAGCATTGCATCCAGTCCTTTTCACTCTAAGATAAGATACCCCCTAATTTTAAATATTAGAAAGTCTCTGTTCAACTGCCATAAAAAAGGGCTGAAAATTGTTTTGGCTTGGATCCCTAGCCACTGCGGGATTCAGGGTAATGAAATTGCGGATCATTTAGCTAAAGAAGCCACCAAATCTGGCTCCCTCCCTAAACAATGCCTCTATGCATATGACCTCCTACCAAAGGCTGGATCCAGCCTTCTGTCTTCATGGCAAAGTATCAGGCATCAGTCTTAAACTTTTAAAATGTAAACACTATTCCAAAGTCCAAATTAATATCCCATCAAAACCGTGGTTCTTTCAATATTGTCACTTTAATAAATCAATCACCTCTACTGTTTGTCGCCTTCGCTTTGGACATGCTTGTACTCCATACACTAAACCATACACTAAACCATCTGTTCTTTGAGTGTCCTAACCTTTCTCACTTTCTCTATGATATCCTGCCCCACTACGTCCCGCGTCCTGTAAATTTCCAGTATTTGTTGTCCCTAGTGTATACTCCTTTTGTAAATATTTTGTGTGATTTTATTCATACTAATAATATTAAACTGTAAAATTACTAATCAATTTTGGTGATGGTGCTTAAAAATGTGACGTCTTTTGTTGTAGATTGTGAACCCACTTGTAAAATTGAAAACTCTTTAATGTAATAAATATTTACTTGTCACTCCCATGACTGACTTGACACTGGCAGAATTCTATCAAGAGAAGCCATAATTTAAAAGAAGAAGAAGAAGAACTATAAAAATACCATTGCTTGCTGTGATGTTATAATTTAACTATTTTCTTTTAATTAAAAAAAATTACTAGAAATGCTATTAAACATTACTAATATTACCTTTAACCACTTCTGGTAAGCTTAGAATGCTTGTTAGAAGTGGTTCACGACAGTAGTCGAATGGCGAATTCGAACCCACGACCTTTCAAGTTCGCGGTCCACACCCTCCATTAGGCTACTGACGCTTCAAGTATTAGATGGTTGTTTTATTTTTCTTATTAGAGGTTTGTATGAGTTACTCGAACATTTTCATTGTTATTAAGTAAAAATACATATGCATTGTAAACACAGTAATATTGTAAAAGCTTTACTTTTATAAAATTAGTGTCCATTTAACAGTCCATGGAATCGGTCATTATCATTTTATTTATCATTTATTATCAGCATAATATTAAATTATCACTTTAAATACTAAAAGTGTAGACAACTCCTACATTTTTTTGTAGATATACATCTAATCTATTCTTGATTAAGAGTCAAAATGTAGATGTGTTGTCACCCCTGATGACTACGATAGGTAGAATAATTACTATAATTACCATGAACCGGAGTTTGCCGACAGGAGGCTGAGCATACGGGATTCCCTTGAAACTGTAGTATGGAGAACCATCATTCAGCTTCTTTACTGAGCCAACCAGTTTGCCTTGTTTTATTGTCACTGTTGGACTGCTCTGAAAAAAAATGACAGTAACTCAATTTACTTTAGTTACAGTGACAAACAATAAAACGAAGTAAGTGGATTTTGTAGCTGTAGGCATCTGCAACACAACTGACTTGAAATTAAGATGTGTCGACTGAAGGATGAGATAGAATGCATCAGTCTTTATTTTACTAGCTCTTTACAACATTCAAACCAGGACACAAGCATAAATAGGTAAGATGATGGTAGGTTGGTAAGAATGGTAGTAGAAGTCTATACATTGTTACATGAATACAACATTTTCCACGAACTTCAAACAGGAGGAGGTACTCAATTCAACTGTATGTTTTTTTTTATGTGTGTTACCTCATAACCTTTTTCTGGATGAATCAATTTTGATAATTCTATTTTCATTTGAAAGCATAAATTTGATCAAGGTTAACCAATAGTTTTTGAGTTATTCTTATTAATTCATATTAAAGTCTGTAGTACAAAATTTTAAATTTTAAATTATACATTACTTCATTTAACATGTATTACCATGTAGTGGCAGTGTAAGAATATCCACTACCACATATCATCCAGTGGTTGTCTTAAGGGGCGATCAGAGGGAAACTAATCTAATGTGCAGCAGCATCTCTCTAATAATTACTTACTTACTTAATTATCTTCACGCACAATCCCTGACGGGGTAGCCAGAGAGAACAGATCGCCAAGTGTCACGATCCTTACATACCTCTTTCGCTTCTTTCAGATTCATTATCTTCTTCATACATGCACATCTAGGTATCCGAGTACTCTTGACCCTACCCTCTTCGAGCAATTTGCTCACATGGTCTTCGAAAGTTAGTCTCGGTCTACCTCGACACCTTTTAATATTAACTTTCGCGCTATATATTTTCTTCACCATTCGGTCTTCACTCATTCGCTCAACGTGCCCAAACCACCGAAGCACGCCCTTATCAATTTTTGTGATAAGGTCATCTTTCAAACCTGCCATATTGCGAATCTCTTCGTTTCGCTTTCGGTTGGCCAAGGTAACGCCGCACATTTTACGAAGAGATCGCATCTCCACTGCATTCAACTTGCTTTTATGCTTCTTCTGGCATACCCAGGTTTCGCTGCCATATAATAAAGTCGGTACCAACACTGCGTTATGTATTGCAAGGCGTGCACTTTTCACTACGCCTTGCCTTTTGACTAACGCAGTCAGGGCACCATTGACTTTGTTCCCGGCAGCGACACGCCTGTCCACATCTAAAATAACTACTAAAAACTGTGGTAGCTAAGCCACTTGCCAGCATGGCAACTATCCCTCCTATGAGGCAATCTATGGGTCAGGCCTTTGTTCAGCAGTGGACTTTAGTAGGCTGTAACAGTAATGGTAATATTACTACATTAATATATTACTACATTGTACAGACATGTATATCCTGAAAGTGATTTAATGCTCCATGGTACATGGTTCACAGTTGCATGTGCAAATACATTTCCATATGCTACTGGTTTGACGTCAACCACTGAGCCAATCACTCATTCAGCCCTACATTTTCCATTTAAGATTACACAGAATTGATTTGAGTATAGCAGAAAATCATTAATGTAGTTTAAAGGTGAAGTGTACATAACATAACATTTGGTACATTTCATTGGGTATGGCATTTTGTACAGGGATATTAATATTTCAAACAGTAGTTTTACTGATTTTTTTACAGAGTATTGGTGACAAACGAGCACACAGTACACCTCATGGTAAGTGGATGCTGAGGCCCATAGACATCTACATTTATCCTCGATAAAAAATCAAAATGCAGATGCACTGTCACCCCTGAGGACCAAGATGGAATGCCTTGTTTCCAGTAAAAATGGTATCCAGTTCTCTACACTCACCATACGAAACAGGAGAACGAAGCTGCTATTTTACGCTGGTATTCTGTAAGAGCATGGTCCTACATCAGTCAAACCGACCCATTCATGCTACAACCATAATATAGCTGCAGCATGCAGCCCTACCACGGTTGAAAACATTGATATAGCACAATAACATTTGACTACTTAACATCAGATGGGTTGTTTGTTTCCTTGCTACTTTGGCTAAGATATAAAAGAATATCAGATCTTATCACACAGTTAAACTGGAAAAAAAAACCAATAAATATATTTACAAAACAAATGAATTTGAATTCATTTTTACCCTTTCAATTCAATAATTAAACACAACATCGCAAAATGTGACTGATGATATTTGTAAATGCGTTTAAAATTATATTCATTCTAAACATGTATAGTACCTATTTCCAAGAATTACATATTTATTAAGATCTTGATAATATTTTAGAACTCTTTCTATTTTATATATTTTGCTAATAACTTCATAGGTTTTTACCATGTTTCTATTCACCATGATTATATTCGTAAAATTACATTTAATATTTATAAACGCTAAATACATAAGTAATAAGAAAAATTATGTAATCTATAGGACATTTCTTAATGATATTTTCATTGACAAATTAGAGAATGTTCAACTCACCATGGTGATTGCAGTGCTAGTGTTTTTTGCGAAATGCTTGAAAACTGCAGGCACTTGGATAGCAAACTTAGAACTGATCAAAAACATATCAAAAGAGAATATAATCACTATGTTTACACATTGAACATAACCATCAACAATTTTTACGTATTGTTTACAACTTGGATTTTTTTATAGCTGATTATTTCTTATGATTTCAATATTTAGACTTGTAATATAATTATTAAACGTTTGTGCTCTGTGAATACTGATTATAATATTCTTTGCTTTTCCATTATTATTTTATACATCCTACATGTACCTATTACAGAAAAAATTAGCAAACAATTGTCGGTGTCGAATAGTCTTGGGTAGTTCGCGAACGACCTAGGTTGGAAGAGCGCTCTTTTAGGTGAACTATGCGAACTAGTTCGTCGACAATCATGCTCTTAGTTCTATAATTATTTATTTTTCTTGCTGCCACTCTATTATGGAGTGGCGCTACATGGCTAACCGACTGATTTATTTTTATTCTTACCGTTCTTACCAGAGTTTCTTATTAAAATATATAATTTATAGTCTATAATTAAAGTTTTAGTAGTGCACAATTCACGACAAATAACAAATATTGCTGGCTCACAATATTAATATGAAAGTGATAGTAAGCAGTACATAAATACCGTATAGTTCTCAATTCGATTTTACGGTAAGTTTATTCAAAATTAATATTTTACATTTCTTTTTCCACTAATTTTATTAAATACTCAAATACAGTGCAACCTCAATATAACGAAACTGAATGAAATTAGAAAGTATTCGTTATTATACCAAGTAATTCGTTATATTCACTCGTCGTTCTATATACTTATCATATCTACCATCCCTGCTAAACACACATCCCAAATATACAAACTCATCTACTTGCTCTACCAACTCCCCTTCTATTCTTATTTCACATATCGTTTTATTTTCTTCTCTTTCAAAAACCATAACTTTCGTCTTATTTGCGTTCACTTTCATTCCCTTTTCTTTTAATGTCCTGTTCATTAATGTAACCACCATTTGCAATTCGGCTGCCGACGATGCAAGTATGACTTGATCATCGGCGTACAAAAGGCATTTGACTATTAACTCACCCATTCTTAACCCGCATTCTTATACTTTCAAATTTTCCAAACAACTGTCCATAAATAGGTTGAACAACCACAGGGAAGCCACACAGCCCTGTCTGACACCTTTATGGATGCCAAACCAGTCCGAGTAGGCCCCGTTGATCCTGACACAAGCACTAGAGTCCCTATATAGAGACTTCAATGCCTGTATCAGACCAGCGGTCAACCCAAATGAGTTCAGTGTTTGCCATAACACATCCCTGTCCACTCTGTCATAAGCCTTCTCCAAGTCTATGAACGCACAAAAAACTTTTTGGTTTTTGGCCAAAAATTTCTCCGCGATCATGCGCATGGAAAAGACCTGATCCGTACATCCCATTCCCTTTCTAAATCCCGCTTGCACATCCCAAATTTTTCCATCAGTTTAGAACGACGAGTGAATGCAGGACATAGAGAGAATGGGGCTCTACACTCTATTGTGAAAAGTCAGAATGTGTCCAAAAAGGCACGTATGGCAATTCACAATGCTGTGTTAGTACCTACTTTAATGTATGGTAGTGAAAGTTGGGTGTGGCAGAAGAAGCATGAGAGTAGAATAAATGCTGTAGAAAGGCGGTCATTAAGGAGTATGTTAGAGATGAAGCTGAATGACAGAGTGAGAAATTGTTTAATAAGAGAAGAGTGTGGTTTGCAAGATGATGTTGTGACCAGGATTAAGAAAGGAATGCTTCGGTGGTTTGGCCATGTAGAAAGAATGAATAAGGAAAGAGTGACAAAGCAAATTTATGTTGCAGAGGTGAACGGCATAGTCGGGAAGGGTCGCCCTAGGCGAAAGTTTATTGACCAAATTGGCGATATATTAAAAATGGGCCAAATCAAGAGTACCTTTAACTGACGAGCGTGTATGCGTAGGTATATGGATGTGGAGGAAGCGAGAGAGGTGTGTCAGGATCGTACCAAATGGAAGTCCATAATCTCTGCCTACCCCTCTGGGTGACAGGCGTGAGTGTTTATGTTATATGTTATGTTGATTCGTTATAATGAGGTTTGTTATATAGAGGTTAGGTGGAACTACAATGCGTTTTAACAAGGTAAGAAAACTTGTTTATTAATCTCAACATTACGTAAATAGTCATCTACCTGTCGTGTACGTGTCTGAACCTGCCAAGCCATGATTTATTGTGAAATTAAGTAGGAATAATTAATAGTATATGTTATGTCAAGATTTCAAGTTGAGAAATTTGGTTAAAAAGAGACAAATAATATCTTCTATATATATTCCGCAATAATTCAAAATTCGATATAAAGATGTTTCTGATAAAATCTATTCGTAATGTAGAGTTACATTTTGCATTAGCTCTTACAGGCAGTTCTAGGGGATTTCGAAAAATTCGTTAAACCGAGGAATTTGTTATATTGAGGTTTGTTATATCAAGGTTACACTGTGTTACTATGTTACATTAATTAGCGACATGTAATCTTTAAATTACAGTTGCGTTATTTTCAATAATCCAATACACTTCAAAAATATAAAAACATGTTTAGCTTCGTTTATTACATTTTATTTTAATGTCCATATCATCAAATAGTTCTTGATAAGTATCATGCATAATATATTATACATTAGGTAGTATATTACATACTAATTAAATCATTAATTTTTTTTAACGTAAATTCAATTAATTTTTATTTACGGACATTTAATAAACTCATCTTTTTTAATAAGATCTACTGAAAAATTAAAAAAGAACTAACGAACTAAATGAGCGAACTAGTTCGCTATAGGACTACGAACTAAATTGAGCGCTCCCAATGGCGACCGACTATGCCCAAGACTAGTGTCGAATAATTGAAAGTTAAAGTAGACAGTGTTGCCAACTGTTAAACTGGCTCTCCACCACTTCTAAATTCTAAAAATTTAAATCATCTAAAAACCATGAATAAATTGCGATCCTACTCCACCAAAAAGAGTTGCTTATTATGAAAATAAGCAATAAATATATTAGGATAGAATACAATAGCATCATTTTCATTCAATATAGATTACAAGAATACAAGGAACCCTTATAGTTTTGTCATGTCCGTCCCTCTGTTCGTCCGTCCGTCCGTACATCCGTCCGTCCCTCCGTCCGCGATTTTGCTCAGAGACCCTAGGTGCTACAAATCTGTAATTTAGCATAGTTGTAGATATTGGACGACTCCATGGCGCAGTGGCTTAACAATGAATTGCTGCGCTGGCAGGGGTGCGGGTTCGAATCCCGCACGGAATAATTATTTGTAAGGCCTACAAATGATTGTTCCGGGTCTGGATGTTTGTCCTTGTGAAATTTGTGTTTGTAAACTGCCTCCACGATACAGCAGAAAATCCTAGTGGTAACGTTTTTAAAAAAAAAATATAAAAAAAAATATTAATCACGCTTAGAAAACTGTGAAATAAAATCTTTAAAAAATATCTTTAATTTAGGTACTTCCTAAAAAAGTATTTATGGAAGATATTTTTTTTTACCCATCTATTCCATCATGTGAGGTATTATTAGATAGGTCTTTCAAAAATACAAGGGGCGTGGAACAACATGTTTTCGAGCCAGGGGTGCGCTTGTGAAATATTTAACTTTAAATTGGTATTTTTCATAAGAGTCATGTGCTCCCCCCCCCCCCCTCCGCCAAGGCCAACTTAAGTACAAGTAAATACTCCTGATAATTGTTGATTGATAATTTATCCTCTTATTAAAACTGAATTCTACTAAACCACTAGAAAAAAACCACCCACCTTTAAAAGCAATATTTCTCCACTAGAAGGAGCCAGGAACCACCAGTTTTAGGGGAAAATCTACTAAGTGTGCAACACTGGTTGGAGAAAGTTAAAAGTTTGTTTTTAACAACAAGGCAACAGGATCGATGCCCATACAGCCTAGTCTGACCTTTATTTTACGTTTCTCTGATGTTATAACATTGACAAATTTTTGAAGATTTCGACAACCATTATTTTTTCATACTTGGCTAATTTTCTCATAACAGTAATTAATTGTTCACGTTTTTAAATAGCATGATATAGTCATATAAGCCTATTAATCTTCTTCTTATTTATTAAATATAAAATCAATTGCTGTCCGTTAGTCTCGCTCACAGCTATAATAATAGAGCGCTAAAACTCGAACAGTGGATGGCTTAGATTCACAGCTTTACCGGTAGGTGTCGCTTTTGTCGAAATTCAGAAATCACCGTTTTTGTCTCAAGTTAAATATACCTACATGAATACATTATTCAGCTTTGAACGTTTGAATTCCCAATAGTCCTTAGAGGTGACAGCGCATCTGTAGTCTTTGAAGTTGGCTGCCTTAACCACTTACCATAAAGTGGACTGTAAGTTCTTTTGTCACCTTTTATAAAAGAAAGCTAACTGTCTTAGTTCACCATCGGACAACCAGACGCTCGTCTAGTCTCCACTCTTTTTTTGTCGACATACCACGCATTCGATACAAACGCTTTGCTTTGTCGTTCGTAACGCATACAGCAAAGGTATGGAATATTAGTCACATTTTATCTTTTCGTCTAATTTTAATGGGGGTGTTGTAAAGGCAAGAGTGAACATGCTTCTGTTTAGCTAAGGCAATGCGTTTTAATAGCTTCGGCTACATCACCGCTTACCTTTAGATGGCCTAGTAGTCAAACACTGACTTATAGTTAAAAAATGGTTACTACTGCCATTTGGTTACCATCTGACCGGATTTCAATAGCCAAGACCGGACTCCACCCAGATTTCAGTACAGACCGGATTTTTACCACACTGACTATACTAAATAAAATAAATAAATAAAATAATTTATTTCGGACAACAAGATCCATAGAATTTGTTAGTAAAGAAAAACTTACATCTATGTTAGTAATATAATTTATACTCAATACTTAATTATTAAACAGGACATAGTCCTGGCGATCATTTGTTTAATCAGTGGACAGTCCCCACTGTCTGCAATCTCACTCAGCACACTGTGGCCGCTGCCGCGCACTCTGTTTAGCAAGGATGCGGTCTTTTTTCTGATTATTGCATCAAAGCTATCCACACCCGCCAGTGCAAACATCGCAGACGCGCTACAGTAGCGCGGCAGCCGCAACAGCGCCCTAAATGCATTATTGTATTGAGTACGTAGGGCACTATAGGCCTTTTTGGTGTAGTTGGTCCATAGGCTGCAAGAATAAAATGACGCACAATATGCTTTGAAACGCGTGATCTTTAC